CGTCTCCACCATCGTTGACCGCCGCCGAGGCAAAGAAGAGGGCCGGACCCTCCTCCTCCTCAGCCTCAGCAACGTGGGCCGCCTGGTTCTTGGGCTTGGTCGGGCACTCCCGGGCCCAATGCCCGGTCTTCTTGCAGCGGCGGCATTGATCCGGCCCAACATCGCCGGAAGCCGACGCCGTCTTCGATCCACCATCCCACGGTGGTCTCGGCCCAGGCTCCTTTCTTCCAGAGCTTGAGCCGTGCCGTCCGCGCCCGCGGCCACGGCCGCGGCCGCCGCCGCCGCCACTGCCGGAGCCGTGGTCCGCCTTCTTCATCCGTGCCGTCCACTGCTCCTGCGTCAGAAGCAGCTTACCGTCGGCACTTGTCGCCGCCGGCGTGTCGTCCTCGGCTTCGCAATCCTCCGCCGCACGCAGCCGTCCGCACGCGTCCTCCAATGACAGCGTGTCGAGATTAGAGGTGATCTCGATTGCGACGGCCGCCTCGCTTCAATGCCTTAGGCGCGACGCAGCAGCTTCTTCTCGACGGTCTGCGCGTCGTCACCACTTCGCCGAGGGTCTCCAACGCCGCCACAAAGATTCTCCAAGCGCTTCGGTGAAATCATCGAGCGACTCACCGGGCTTGAACTTCATCGTCTCCAGCTCCTTCCGAAGACGTTGCGCCTTTACCTTCTGCACCGAGTCGTTCCCGATCCGGCGCTCCTTGATGGCCTTCCACGCTTCCAGCGCGGACCCCTTAGCCACCAAATGCGGCACCATCTCCGTGGTACCCGCTTCGTGATGGCGTCGGCGCCGCTCGATCCTCCCGAACGAGACGTCACCCGCTCGCGCCTCCCACATGTCGCGCGCCCCATCTTGAGCTTCATCGTGCCGCCCGCGTCGTGTAGTTCGTCTTGGTGAGCATTGGCGATTCACGCCCGGCGGCGTACTCCATGACGATGCGCACTTTCTCCTCCTGCATTGCGCCCCGCAGCGCCGCCCTTGCCACGGGCGCCCTTCTTCGGAGAGGGTGGCGTGTCGTCGTCGCCGGCCATCGAGTCCAGCCCCTACCGAACCTCGGCTCTGGTACCAATTGTCAGCAATCCCGGCGTACACCAACGTCCGTCTATCACCTTCAACGGCAGCACAATGCACACACGCGAACACAGTGGAACGATGAACACACAAGAGTATTTTTGGTGCGACGAACTGGTCGCTTTTCCGGACTCTATTGAATGCATATATAGAATATCAACTCCTACACAACCGGTGAATCGATCACGGCATGCGCCATCCCACACACCCACGACACCACGGTCCTCCTACAAGCTCGGCATGCCCACCATCCGAACGTGCCATCCCACATCCAGTGAACACGCCCAGCACTCCCTACAGACGCGCCCCATGCGAACGACGCGCATGTCAGGCTCCCTACAGACTCGCTCAGCCAAACAAACTAGTGAGCTTATTTCAACCGTGAACAAGGAAACCGAAAATAGCTTGACAAGCATTGCACAGGATTACTCAACAAGTTATACTTTATCTATTTGTTGGTAGGCTGCTTGTGGGGAACTAAAGCACCGCCTTTTTCTGAAGTTGCTAGAAGCTGTTCTCAAAACCGGAAACCGTTTGAATGATGGGACCTTCCGTGGTGGTGCTAATGCATTCAAGCTTGACACTCTTCTGAAGTTATCAGATGTCAAGGGTGCTGATGGAAAGACCACATTGCTGCACTTTGTTGTTAAAGAGATTATTCGGTCTGAAGGTGTTCGTGAAGCAAGGTTAGCCATGGAAAGTGGAAGAAGTCCAACTCGTAGTACTTCAGATGACACTTCCAATGGATCTCTTGAAGAGGATGGCGATTACTACTCCAACCGTGGACTTAGCATTGTATCAGGACTTAGTAGTGAGATGGACAATGTCAAAAGGGTAGCCGCACTAGATGCTGAACCTTTGTTTGCCACTGTGGTAACCCTCAGACAAGAGTTACTGAAATCAAAGGAGTTCCTGAATGAAATTGCAACAATAGAAGAGACGAGTGGATTCCGACGCTCATTGGAATGTTTTGTGGAACATGCAGATAATGAGACAAATTTTTTGATGAAAGAAGAGAAGAGGTTGAGATCATTAGTGAAGAAAACAATACGATATTTCCATGGAAATGACTCTAAAGATGACGGTTTCCGGTTGTTTGTGATTGTAAGAGATTTCTTGGTGATGCTAGATAAGGCATGCAAGGAAGTTGGGGCATCACAGAAGAAGGGTACAAATAAATCACGAAGCAGTGGCAATGGCAACCCTACGTTCCCGTCAATCCTACAGGAGCAACAGTTCCCTGCTGTTATTGATGGCCATTCAGATAGTTCACGTTCTAACGATTAACGATGAGATACTGATCTTTTTGTTGTAAAGAAAAATCCATTTTGAAGAGGAAATATGTTAGCATACATGTAATGTTTTTTTTTTGGTGAGAATAGCATACATGTAGATTTACATACGTATCTTGATTGATATCCATAGGTTTATGATACGGTTCCGTCAGACCTCAAAATTAGTGGTTCTTAAAATACCTCTAAATCAATGCTCCCTTGAGTTCTATAATTCTAGTTGCTTTGGACAACTTTGAGCTCAAACTTTAAAATTTTGATTATCGATTATTATTACAATATATAATTTAAAGACACTATGACAACATGCATAAATTGGTCTTAAAAGACATTTTAATATTTTTCTACTTCTTCGTATATAAAAAAATCATAGCCAAAGCTACAATTTGGAGATCACATCGCTATCAAAACCAAGAATTATGGAATTGAAGGGATTACAGCTCTGACAGTAAAAATTTCGAAAGCTTGTCATCCTTAGCTCAAAGAAGTCACAAGCGAACGTTAGACCAGTTGGTCTGGCTGTGCGCTTTGCATCCTGTCGCCCAGAGTTCGAACCCTCTTGGGGCGGATTTATTGGCCGGAGGAGGCGTAGTTTATCTACGCGTTGAAAAAATCCCCTCGTCTGCACTACGCCAAAGCACAGGTCTAAGATCAGTCCAGTTTCACAGGAGCTGCAGCGCCGCTGTGTATGGGTGGGGCAGAGGTTTTGGGGTTTTCTCGACTTACGTGAGAAGGTCTTCTTCTTAAGTACAATGCCCCGAGCTGTCTTACCCCCGCGGATCGATTTTTTTTTTTTTTTTGCTCAAAGGAGTCTTACATTTGGAGCTATAGGCACATCAAAGATATGAGAATGAGAAATTTGGTTATTCTTTCTTTTTGTATAAAACAGTGATGTCTAAACGGTTTATTTTATTCTATGAACTCTAAACCTGAAAATCTTGCATTGTTGGTGATACACCAAACAAGCCCTCATTTGCGCCCTTTATCCTTGAAAGCTGAAATCCATTTGTGTCATAATGTGATTACAATATGGGCATGCAAAAGCTTATGATATTAGTATATAGGGAATAAAATACGTGCAACTTAAACATCTACTTATATCTTTCGTCGTATACATCCTCACAGAGATTGCCTCAAACTAATGCAAATTCATGTAATGTAACAAAACTTCATCGTACATCGATCTAAGGGTATGAATAAGCCTAGGGACAATATTTCCCGATGCTAGAAAATAGAAAATGAGTTATAAATAAAGAGAAAAAATATGAAAATGAGTTAAAGAGAATAAGAAAATTTATGAATCAAAGTAAAATGTCAAATTAAACAGAAAAATTGAGGTAAATAAAAAATTAAAAATGTTAATAGTGTGCTAAGTGTCAAATCTGTCGAGATCTATCATGCAAGTAATCCATTTTCTTGAGGGTGCACAGCCAGGGCCCAAGGGTCAGAGGCAAATCTCGTTATCGTCTGCCGCCGCGGTTCTCCTGCTGCCCAACTGCCCTTCCGGACGGCATTACCTAGCCCGTAGGCCATCAACGCTTCTCGTCTTATCGCCCAAGAAACGTGATTGTGGAAAAAACCAACCCACTCACGCTCCTTCTTCCCCTTTCCTCTGCTACAGTACCAAAGGGCGAAAAGGAGGTGACACAGTTTTCCGGCGCCGATTTCGCCATCCTCCCTCTTCTCCAGTCACCAGTTCGGTGCTGGAAAGGGAGGATGGCGGGGGTATCGCCGTGCGGGTGTATATAGATTAGGATCGAGTCCTAGGTCTAGGGTTTGCTTGCCATCGGTTGACGGTGGAGCTAGGGTTTGTCGGGAGGGCGGCGTTCCTCTGCGGCTTGTCTTTCTGGGCGCCGTCGGCGAGGAGGAGGTGACGGCGGCGTTGTTGAATAAATCCTCCCGACCCCTTCCTCGCACCGGTGGCGTTTTCCTCCGGCGCCAACGACGAGGTCCGCGAGGCTTGTATAGGAGTCCGCGCGCTCGGCCGATCTGTCGTCTCAGGGAGGCGACGGTGCTGGTGGCGCGCTTCCTCAAGGGTGTGGAGATGGCTGTGGGTGTTGCGGACTGCAGGTGTGTGGATCGAGCTCGACCCCCCCTTCGGCGCCTGTCGACAGCGAGCTTCGATTCAAGATCTGAGGAGCTTGGGGTGCGTCCCCGACTGACTTTTCTTCAACGACAAAATTGTCCCGGCCTCGGCATCGGGTGACTACTGCATCTCGTTAAAAGCCTTCATGCGATGGAGTTCCTCCAGATCTGGGCGGCGGTGGGAGTTCCCAACGCCGGAGATGGAAGGTGGCGGCGTCCGTCGGCGAGCACGGTGGCCAGGGAGCTTCTTGTGATTTTCTATTCTTTAGGGGCCTCTGTGCAAAACTGATAGGACAGCTGTCTCTGTTTCCTGTACCCTCGTATCTGTATGCATTTGCGTATGTGTACGTTTACCTTACCTGAGTAATACAGATACGTTTATCAAAAAAAAAAAAAACGCTTCTCCTCTTCCCCTTCCTCGGCCCCTCCACTGATCCACTCGCCTAGGGCTTTGCTCCTCCTCCCCTCGAAACCCTACCCACGCCATGCGCGATCGATCGGTTGAGCGCGAATTCCCGAGCCGCGAGCGCGGGGATCGGCCGCCGCCCGGGATGCTGGGCCCGCCGCGCCGCGGGCCGGCGTACAAGACGAAGCTGTGCGCGCTGTGGCAGCGCGGCGGCTGTTCCCGCGACACCTGCAGCTTCGCGCACGGGCACGCCGAGCTCCGCCGGTTCCCCGGCTCCCGCACCTCGTTCCCGCCCCGCGCCGGTATACACAGCCTTTTCTCGTGCCCCCATTACCCTCTCGCACGTTTTTTTTCCTACTAGTTGAATGTTTAACCTCTGATGAGATCGGGATCCCCTGGTGGTGTAGCGTTCGTGGTAAATCGGGTGGTTTGGTTGTATGAAATTTTCTTGCAAATTCTGTTCCTCGTATTGTTTTATTGGTAGGTTTAGTTGTAGATGTCACGAATTCTGCACCCTGCCGTGGATGGTTGCCCATGTAATCCATGTGATCTATCTGTTTGGGAAGAACAATGGTATGGGCCCATTCGATTTATTAGATGGAGAAGAAATGTCATGGTGGATGGTACGATACATTGCTGTGCCATGCAACAAAAAAGGAAAAGTGATACATGCCAAGTCGCTGATATGAATATCTATATCTGTTATTTCAGAAGGGATGAATTAGGTTAATTTAGCCAGGATAGTGACTGGCCAAAGAATGAATACATGTACTTGAATCATTTATGGATGACCATCTTTGGAGCTTTAAGGGGTTACATGGACATGGCCCACATGGGTCTGGGTATCAGTGTCTGATTTAGGTGCAGGTGTCTGAATTAGCAGATTTTTTGGGACACGCCAAATAGCACCTGGAATCCAACATGGTGTCATAATGACACTGGTGCTGGGTGTCTCATTTGGCAAAAAAAAAGGGTGGGGGGAGAAACAGGTTTCCGGATAACAAATTTACCTCTGGACATTGTGGTTCAAGTGGAACTTTATTTTTGCTCCATGATTTTGTAGTACCATGTTCTCTATGTTTTGTATTAAGTGCTTGTGTGTTTTATTAAATTTGTGCTTGAATTCAACCTCAGTTGCTGCAGATAGAAAATAATTCTAACAAGTGGAAGCTTGTTGCAGTCTGCAGAATTAGGCGGCATTCTTACTGGTTGCCTTTTGATTTAACTACCATTCAAATTAGCAGACTCCTGAGCAGATTATTAGATTCAACTGCTGCCAGAGGATAAGATGACCTTTATATAGATTCTTCAGTTGGCATTTCAACAATTTATTGTGACTGTAATGCTTGTCCCTATATCAAGAAGGTTGGCATATCAGTATCTTGGATGATGACTCCACTGAATGATGTCCATAATACATTTGATGTGCCATGGTCATGTGCTTAGCAGCTTTAATGGTTAATTGAGCCACATACCCTTGAATATTGTGCATCAGTTAGTTCATTGGGAAGTGTTATTCTCACTGGTAATTGCAAGTTATTGTTATTCTTGCAAGTCGCCGCGGAAGATATCTGGACAAATGATAGTAGATTTATATTGTGATGGTATTGGGATTATAGAAGACCTCAACTTGTCATGCGTAATTGTTATGTGATGTTGTTCATGGTGCTTCATCAATTTGATTTCCAACAATCAACATTATGAGTTTGGTATCATCTTAATGGGTACGTCAGTGGTTTCATACCATACTTTGGTATCTACCCATGGCGTTAATTTTCAGCCCTACTTTGTTGTGGCTAGTGGTATTATCCTGGAGACCCTTCTACTTATTGTGCATTGAATTATCTTGTAGCTCAAAGGCTGTGGTAAGGTTACAGGCTTATGGGTGACCTATCTCCATAAGTTCATATTGATACATTTTTCGTTCAGCTTCATATATCCTTGTATAAATTTTTCTCTATCCTGACTTCTAGGGAGAAGAGATTATAGAGGTGGTGACTTCAGAGATAGGTTTGATAGGAGGCGCTCGCCTCATAGGAGGCATTCCCCTGACAGAGATTCCAGGGGCCATCATTCCCTTCATGACCGAAGACCAAATTCCCAAGAAAGGGGTAATTACGGCCTTCTTATTTTAAATCCAGACCTGTCACTTTTATTACATTCCTATTGAATTCCATGCCCGATGGCGTATAAGTTATTAAAACTGAAATTTTACTTGCAGAATCTAGCTATTCACGGTCTCCCAGTAGGAAGAGGTATGCAATTCATTTAATATATGATTAAGTCATTCATTTGTAAATATATGCTTTTACACATGTAACACATCTGTGTCTGCTGCTCAAATTATCGATTCTTTATTTATTACTATCTATTATCTCTTTGTTATCTGCCTTGTTTATGTGATGCAATTTCCTCATTTCTGTTAACTATGGATCTGGAGCTCAAATAACTACAAACCTTTATCATTGAATACTATGTTAAAAATAACTAAAAACCTTTATCATTGAATACTATGTTAAAGCATCCTCTCTGAAACCATTATTTTAATATTCTTGCAAACTCACAGTTGTGGCATTTATTCACCATATTATATGTATTCATTGTATTGGCATAAGCATACTAGATGTGCCCCTAGAGAACGTGCAAGCACATTGTATGCTTTATTTTATGTCAACAATTACTAAAATCTGCTTGTTACAAATATAATTGCTTCTTCTGATAAAATTTTCTGAATAGAATATGTTACCTATGTGCCTCTGAAATCTTACTGATGTTTTGGGTTCCTGACCTGCGTCGAATATGTGAAATATGGAACATAAATGTTGATATTGTAGCTTACCTTTCCACTTTATAACCTCCCCTCTCTCAGTGAAAGGAGGCATGAGAAGAAGCCTGATGATGGAGAAACTAACTCATCTAGGAGTTTGAGTGTCTCTGACAATAACGATGATAGAAAAAGGGTGACACTCTTAAGTGGTGATGATAAAGAGGATCACGAAATACAGGTCTGATGCATTATACAATGTATAGCTGCATGTCACCTTTTAGCACACCCTGCCACTGTATAATTAAAAGTAAGATTATTCTGCAGCTGAAACAAATGGATATGGAACTTTTGCGCGATGATAAATCTCACTTGGAGGTTAGTTTTGACAGTCTCTACTTATACTATCGTATATTGCATGCTGGTAAACCATGTCAGTTTTTAGTTGATGTTTCTATGGGTAATTGGTGGTGGTGGTGGTGTGTGTGTGGTCAGATTTAGGTATTTTGTTACTTTTCTTTTTGCACTAGTGTACTGGCTAGAAAATTGATGTATATAGGACTTTGTAATTGCAATTTATAACACTTGCCTATTTTCCGTTGTAAGCTCAACCATTCTGTTCATATTGTGGGACACTGACCATTCATCATCAATCATGCTTTAATTGCTTGATTTGCTCGGTGCTGATTGCAATAACTATTCTCATTGACTGATGAAGAGTATTTGGTGTCCTGATGGTTTAAACTTATATTCAATGTCCATAATGGTTTAAACATTTTGATGGAGCAGTAATTTGTAAAAGTTTCTGTGTGTTCCTTGCTTTGCAATGTCCATAATGGTTTAAACATTTTGATGGAGTACTCGGTTAGAGCATTAGCATAACAGTTCTTCTTAGTGTCTTTATTTACATGTTATATGCTGATAATGTTTCTTTTACTTTCTAAATCCTACAAGTTGTCATTGGCCATGTACTCTTTTAACTCTGAATCTTCACAATTCAACACCTATCCTTTAAAATAGCTTTATCCTGTGTAAATCCAAACTCGATGGTCATATTAACTATTCCTTACATAGATAATTTTGGATGAGAAGAATGCTGAAGTGCGCAAGATTTCTAGCAGAGTAAATGATCTTGATCTGCAGCTAAGGAAGGAGAAAGAGGAATGCCACAGGTACTTACACAATAGGGCGCCTCTTTTGTTTAGCTCCATGGTGTCTTCAAGTATATAGTTGTCATGTTTTTTTTTTTTAAATTTCCAATGTAGGATGACCTCAAAAATGAAAAAGTTCATTAAAGCCCATGCTCGCTTTTTGAAAGCACAGGAAGAATTGAAAAGGTACATTGTGCTTTCATCACTTTTCAGCTTAACAATTTGGAAAACATTTTTGTCCTGTCTTGCTGCACCAGTTCATGTCTATATCCACATGATTATGAATTAATGATTATTATTAATTAAATGGAATTGTGCAGGTCACAAGCTCGTTTTGAGAGACTTGGTGATTTGCTTGCTTCAGATATTCTGAAGCGTGGTGCTAATGAAGAAGTTTCCAGTATCAATGTTGATGAAGACCCAAATGGTCCTTATGAAAGGAGCCCCAATGCTGCTACAACTAAGAAGAGATCAATAATACCATACTCAACAAGTGAAGAAGCGAAAGCCGGTGGGTATAGCTTAGTCTCTGTCTCTGAAGAGTGTACAGTGATGATGTTGTCTTAAGGTTGACATTAGTATGATGCGAATGAATCTTCTTAAATAGCATCCGTTTCTCCTACGGTTGTTGTCAATGTATTTATTTCTTGGAGTCTAAGCTAATCCTTCCTCTGTTGAACTTCAAACATTGGAGCTGATATGATTAGTTGGCTACCCTTTTATAGAAACACTGAATAAAGTGTTCCCTTCATTTGAAAATTTGATATTTTAGAATTTGAGTACTTTCAAAGTATAACATCTGAACTTGTCCAAATGAATCATATTCTTTGACAAGGGAGAGTTTTTTTTTCCCCATTTACGTCTCAGCAACACTTCTTGCTGTGTTTAAAGATATGTCTTCCTATCAATTATGTACTCATGTCTAATCTTGTCCTTTTCAGTGAAGAAAAGAAGAGAGCGAGACTCTGACACAACTAGGCCAGATAAATATAGGTCAGAAGGTACTATTGCAGAATTTGAAAAACCAAGCAAGGGGACTGAGCCAACAAAATCTTTGTATTTGAAGAAGAAACTGTGGGAAGATGAAAAGGATAAGATAGGCAATTTTGTTCCCTCAGCCAACACTGACAAGGTGCAATATTTCTCATGTGCTAACTCAATTTTATGATATTATCTATATCATGTTCTCATAGCTGGCTGGTATAACATGGACATCATCCTATTTATATGCATATGCTCTTATTTTCATTCTAAGCCACAACATGAACTAGTGAAGTTTAAGGTTGACCCTCATTGCTCTGTTTACTCTTGCTTACCCATTAAAACATCTTAACAAGTGGTAGCAATATATAAAATTGTATAGCCTTCCTTTGTCATCGGTTCTGTTAGCTTCATGACCGTTGACATGATTCGGACTGTGCGTAGTATGAGTTCAAACTTCTATTGAGTAGATATTTTTAAACTTACAGGTCAAAGAATCTCCAGCCAAACATGTTTTGCCCTCCACTGGTATGGCTGCTCATGCTGTGGATGATCTGTTTGAAGCTGTTGAACTGGAGGATAGACATGATCCAATAACCGCATCAATAGAAAATGATGCTGATGACGAAACTAGGTTGCCTGTTATGCCCCCACAACCACCACCAGCGGTTAATACTTACGAGCAGGTGACTAACCTTGCATCCTACGTCCTTCGAAGAATAGATAAAAATGAATTTGCATCCTGTTGAAAATGACAAACCTTGCACGTGCGATCAGACTGACTACACATTCAAAACTAGTTCCTCATTTTCTTTTGTAGATCTGCTAAACAATATGCTCACAATTTGTTTTGTCTGTTTCCTAGTACGAGGCTGATGATGAGGAAGTCGACGTGGACTAAGTAGAATGTCGAGATGGTACTGGAATGATCTATAGCTCTTGCATGTGTAAAGCCCTATGTATTTGATGCTAGAATTTACCTTGCATAAAAAACCTTCATATTGATCCTTTGTGGATGCGGTTTATAAGCAGTCAAGTTTTTTCTTGCTTTCCTGAAGGCAAAACATGCCCTGTTACCTGTACCTAAATATACCCCGTGGTGGCTAGTCTTTTGTCAGTGCCCTGGTTCTTCTGACTTTCTGAGTGGTCGTGCTCTGCTGTTCGCGGCACTTGAACACTGATGTTTCGTGGGAGTATATTATTTGAATGGTAGCAGTTGATCTTCGGTTGATGATGTCGGCTAAGTCATGGCATTGGCGCCACATGGCACATTGTGCACTCAGTCTTATCACACTTGATGAAACATCATCTATCAGACTGTAACACGTGGCCCTTGCTACCTTTTGTTTGGTAGTAGATAGTAGAGGACGAAGGTGGTTGTTTACATAATTTTCTTCGGTGGGCTAAGAATTACAGTTAGGTCCCTAAAAGTTACAGAAGGTCTCTGGATGATATGCTGCATCAGCACTTCCATGGTGGATCAGTGGACGACTGCTGACTGATGGTCATCTACCCTTGGACCTCGAGGATGGAACACGCACCACACGTTGTTTCGATACGTATTACATGCCTCGGCTCAGCAGTGGCAGAGGTGCACGCATGTGGCATGACTTTTGTCAATCTCAACTTTACAACTGGTGCACGCAAAAGCCACAAACTTAGTCAACTTTTTAGTCGATTTCAAATACGATATTACAACGCTTTATAGGACTTGGGAGTTAATTTGATTTAAATTTAATATGTAGTAGTCCAAGTCCTATTAAATCTAACAGTCAATGCTTACTTGCATATGTCGTACCATCACAAAATTGCACTTGCCAATTTCTTTCCATAGATGTGAAAAAATAAGTTACAATTTATTTTACTCCTTCCGTCCTGAAATATAATGAATTCTAGAAATTTTAGGACAAATTATTGGGGTAAAAATAAATGATGCATATAACTCCCTTAATCGTGTGAAAATGGTTGGCAATTAGATACCAATACCAATTGTAGGTATGCATTAAATGTTCTTTTTAAAATTGAGTTGGCCGTGATTTCACTTAAATCTATCTTACTCCCTCTCAAAATAAATCAATTCTTGTAATGACCCTAAGTCAGTCTATCTTAAGTTTGACCAGCTTTATATAAAAAAGATAACAACATGACACCAAATAAGTATATTATGAAAATATATTTCATGATGCATCTAGATACTAATTTGGTGCCATAAATA